GGTCTTGTAAACCAGTAGTCGTGAGTTCGATTCTCACAGGGGGCAAAAATTTAAGAACCATTAAACATCTGTTGAAGAAAAAACATCATATAAATAATTGACATGTGTACAGATGCCTCCTTAGCTCAGAGGCAGAGCACTGGTCTTGTAAACCAGGGGTCGTGAGTTCGATTCTCACAGGGGGCAAACCTTTAAGAACCATTAAACATCTGTTAAAGGAAATAAATCATATAAAAATCATTGGCATCTGTACAGATGCCTCCTTAGCTCAGGGGCAGAGCACTGGTCTTGTAAACCAGGGGTCGTGAGTTCGATTCTCACAGGGGGCAAACATTTAAAAACCATTAAACATCTGTTGAAGAAAAAAATCATATAAATCATTGACATGTGTACAGATGCCTCCTTAGCTCAGGGGCAGAGCACTGGTCTTGTAAACCAGGGGTCGTGAGTTCGATTCTCACAGGGGGCAAACCTTTAAACATCTGTTGAAGGAAGGAAAAAAATATATAAATCATTGACATGTGTACAGATGCCTCCTTAGCTCAGGGGCAGAGCACTGGTCTTGTAAACCAGGGGTCGTGAGTTCGATTCTCACAGGGGGCAAACCTTTAAACATCTGTTGAAGGAAGGAAAAAAATCATATATAAATCATTGACATGTGTACAGATGCCTCCTTAGCTCAGGGGCAGAGCACTGGTCTTGTAAACCAGGGATCGTGAGTTCGATTCTCACAGGGGGCAAACATTTAAGAACCATTAAACATCTGTTAAAGGAAATAAATCATATAAAAATCATTGACATGTGTACAGATGCCTCCTTAGCTCAGGGGCAGAGCACTGGTCTTGTAAACCAGGGGTCGTGAGTTCGATTCTCACAGGGGGCAAACATTTAAGAACCATTAAGCATCTGTTGAAGGAAAAAAACATAAATCATTGACATGTGTACAGATGCCTCCTTAGCTCAGGGGCAGAGCACTGGTCTTGTAAACCAGGGGTCGTGAGTTCGATTCTCACAGGGGGCAAACCTTTAAACATCTGTTGAAGGAAGGAAAAAAATTATATATAAATCATTGACATGTGTACAGATGCCTCCTTAGCTCAGGGGCAGAGCACTGGTCTTGTAAACCAGGGGTCGTGAGTTCGATTCTCACAGGGGGCAAAAATTTAAGAACCATTAAACATCTGTTAAAGGAAATAAATCATATAAAAATCATTGACATCTGTACAGATGCCTCCTTAGCTCAGGGGCAGAGCACTGGTCTTGTAAACCAGGGGTCGTGAGTTCGATTCTCACAGGGGGCAAACATTTAAGAACCATTAAGCATCTGTTGAAGGAAAAAAAACATAAATCATTGACATGTGTACAGATGCCTCCTTAGCTCAGGGGCAGAGCACTGGTCTTGTAAACCAGGGGTCGTGAGTTCGATTCTCACAGGGGGCAAACATTTAAAAACCATTAAACATCTGTTGAAGAAAAAAATCATATAAATCATTGACATGTGTACAGATGCCTCCTTAGCTCAGGGGCAGAGCACTGGTCTTGTAAACCAGGGGTCGTGAGTTCGATTCTCACAGGGGGCAAACCTTTAAACATCTGTTGAAGGAAGGAAAAAAATCATATATAAATCATTGACATGTGTACAGATGCCTCCTTAGCTCAGGGGCAGAGCACTGGTCTTGTAAACCAGGGGTCGTGAGTTCGATTCTCACAGGGGGCAAACCTTTAAACATCTG